GGGGGGGGGGGGGTGGGGGATGAAAAAAAAAAAAAAAAAAAACTTTGGCTGACTAAAAGAGAGGTGTTAGTCTCGCAGTTCTATAAAATCCGAGTACCAGCAAACAATTTAAAATAATTGCTTTTAGGATTAACATTTTAAGGCTAATTCTTTAGGGGGCATCTGTACTTACTATAGCACATTCATCCAAATACCTTTTTGATCTTCAAAAGTTACATACGCAACTCCTTTTTTGTCTGTGGGATACGTTACGTCCTCCACATCTCCACCGTTGTTCTTTGACATTTGGAAATGAATCGTCAGTATGTCAGTCATGACATCATTGTGCAGAAGGCCATCTGGAACACCAGCGATGACAACTGTCCTGGCTGATTTAGCAGCTTGTCCTGTCGCCTGTGCACACAGACACAGTACACCATAAATGCAAGGAGTACCGGTGACCTCCTGCAGAGGTTACCCAGATTCACCCCCACTGCTGAAGGGACTCCCCTTCCTTTTGCATAGGCAACCTGTTCATTTACTGTGTAATTTAGAAGACTGCTGAATCAGACTTCAGTGGATGCCAGCCTCCCTCAGGCACCTTTACAGTACTGCACAGTACAAAGTGGCCTGACTCTTACATATAATTTACGTCTTCTCAGTATCTTCTTAAAGCAGTAAAAATTAGAACTAAATTTAACAGTTTTTCAAATGAAAGGTCCAGTGTCACACTGATGAGGTAGTTTCTTTTTGATTCTACTATTCAAAATCTGAAGAGAATGAAAAATTTTAACTGCACTTACTGTTCAGTAAGGATTGTCTTTTCAGAGTGGAAGGGTCAGATTCAGACTGTCTTTACTTGTTAAATTCATGAGAGCTGGGATCTAGGGTTGTGTTCTGACTCATCTCTCTCCACTTATTAAATGGATAACCTTGTTAATTAGAAGAACATAATCCCAGTCATCTGAGACTCACAGTGTGTAAAACGACTAACACCACACATGATTTCCATCAGAGCCAAACCTCCCAATGCTGCAAACATGAAACCCATCCTAAATAGGATTTGCATTCATGTCTTGTTAAGAAAAGCATATTTTCTTTCCATTCTTATTACACAGACATAAACAGTAATACTTCACTGGGAATATCATGGCAAAATTACTGTAAATAGTGGAACACTGAGGAAATTTCATAACGGTTCATTGACTTTTTGGAAGAAAGAAAATAATTTAGTATGTCTGCATGGCAGACATAACTTCAAAGTGACTGTACTCAGGGTCAGCCACTCCAGCTAAATTCTTTAGACTTCTCTTACAAAGCTTCCTCTGGACCCTGGGCTGCATAAAATATTAGAGCCAGCACAGCAATTACAAAGCCTGCAGAATGTGCTGCCAGGGGTGAATGCTCCGTTGACGTGCATCAAAAGCCTTGCAGACCACCACCATGGTGTTTCTGAGGAGACAGACTCAATGAGACTGCACAACCAGGCGAGCTTTAAATTCATGAAGACATGAGGCCTTTTTTATCGCCATCAAACTTAAAGAGCCAGGAGCTTTAATTATATTACGCAATTATTTTGGTGGTAACGTTCGTGTGAAAGCAAGTTTCTGCACTAATGAGACAACATGAAGAGACTATAAACAGGGTGCTCCCAGGATTGATGGAGCTATAGGCAGGATTTTCTCACGCTTCACACAGCCAATGCAGCCTGTGCACAAGCGGGAGCAGTCAGCTGCCAGACAGCATCTCACACCTTGCCAGCTGGTATTTTGGAGCAGCACTCATGCCTACTACTGGTGTTAGAAAAAAAAAAAAATCCACACGAACACACAGTTCGATTGTGCTGAATCACTTCCAAGGCAAGTCTGCGTGCAGCAGCTGTTGCTAGAAAGAACTGCACAGCTGCGGGAGGTGCCTCAGGGACACAGGCAGGTGGGTAAAGGGGAAGAGCCCTGCAGTGCTGGTCACTGGTGACCGCAGTACCCTGTGCATGGCCAGTTCTGCCCTGTGAGGGTGCTGAGGCGCTGGCACAGGCTGCCCAGAGAAGCTGTGGCTGCCCCATCCCTGGCAGCGTTCAAAGCCAGGTTGGACGGGGCTTTGAGCAACCTGGTCTAGTGGAAGGTGTCCCTGCCCGTGGCAGCGGGTTGGAACTGGATGAGCTTTAAGGTCCCTTCCAACCCAAACTACTCTGTGATTCCATGATTTGCTATTTCTTGGCAAATCTGCTACGCATATCAACACTGACAAGAAATCGCATAAAGACTTACCTATAGACCTCATCAGTTCTCGCTGTTACTAAAAACATAAGTGTTACTGCTGGTGAGAGGGAAATCGGACCTGTTGCTACCATTAAATAACTGGAGGGTCAGGGCGGCAGGCCACGGCAGACAAGACATTTCTTTCCATGCGGGAATAGAGCGCGGGACAGACACGGTTCACTCATCACTCCCATGCTGCGTCACTCCATGCTATTAACCCTCCGAGGCTTTTAACAAGCAGAGCAGAGGGCTGCTCCCTGCGCCCTGGCTGGCGGGTCCAAGCTGCGCGGGGGGTCGGGAGGCTGGAG